CTATTCCCCTTCACAAGTAGCTCCCAATTTTGGGCTTGCTTAAAGACACTGACACCTACACGCTACACTAGTGGCGCCCTATGCGGGACATGTTCTCTGACACAACACAAGTGGCGCCCAACGTGGGGTCTGTCCATTGGCACTCGCAGCTTTTCAAGGAGACCCGGGCGCTACACAAGTGGTCCTCCAAATGGGTGATGCCCGAAATATAGGTACCCGGAAGCCGTCTATGCTTAATGCTCTTACATTTCATCCAATATAGTTTCACAATTTTGAATGTTCAGTTGATTTATATATCTACAGCGGAGTGATTTGGGAGCCCAGAACCTCTCATGGAACTGCGATAGCAATTCGGTGGTTTCGGATTGGTTGACCACAGCGAATCTGTGCTCTGAGAACTCTCACGCTGAAAACTTATAATAACTAAACCAAGCATTCATATGATGTGACTTTTGATGGCTAGAATTTCAGATCGCTAGAGAGACTTGGTCTGACCAACATCACTGTTTAGTCCTATTGCAAGTCAACAATAGAATTCTTATAATTGCAATAGTAGATACGGCAGATGAAAACCTTTGTAGATTAGATTGTCTTATTTTGTTTGGTTATGGTTTTGATATCTAGGAAGTGGCGGACCTAATGTTTATGATTGTTAATTTTTTTTTATTAGAATTTTGGTATAACGTATATTAGAATGGCTATGCAACACAGTAACGAAAACATAGCGCAGTCTTTACTAGATTTAGACCCCCTGTGGGCCGTAGGTTTTTGTTCAAATAAATAAAATTGAATAAATTTTGCCGTATGCCTGATGTCTGCCCGCCGATGATGCCGACAGGCGTTGACTAGCGTCGCTCACGCAAGTGCCCCTGAGTGATGGTGCGCTAGGCAGTTGCTGCAGTATCGAAACGCCTTCACGGCGCGAAGGCACGGTGTCATCTGCATGAAACTCTGACACTGACGTAGAGCGTGTACGCCTCTGCAAAGCCGGCATCGGAGGCCGGAGACCCCTCGCAACGGATCCCGGGTGGTGTGGCGCGCTGTAGCGTTAGACGGCATAGTCTGAAAACTAAATAGAAGCATTATGATTGATTACTAATTGGTTGGATGGAAGGAGCAGTGGCTGGCGGTTAGTAAGTTTAGTTGGATGCAGTGGGACATTTCTTCGAATGTATACTTGAGGCCAGACGTAGCTTTGTAACACAAGGATTTAAAGCTTTTTGCGCCGGCCTCCTATAGACCACCAATGCGAGGCGTGCCAGGAGGGATGAAATGTCACGACACGATTTGCTGCCCGAAAGATTCAACTATTCGATTCCTGGTGGCTTCCAGGATGTCCCGTTCTAAGGCCTTTGCTGCTCCAACGAATGTCGTGCCGTTGTCGGAATAAATTTGTTGAGGGCACCGCCGTCTTCCCACGAAGTGCGCGAATGCTGCCAAAAACTTTTCGGTGGTCAGGTCGGACGTGACTTCCAGGTGTATGGCCTTCGTGATAAATCACACGAAGACACACACGTATCCTTGCAGGCTCGACCGGTATAGTTTTTAATTTGGAACGGACCAGCGAAGTCGATACCTGAATGGATAAAGGGGGGAGAAAATGTACTTCATGACCCCTTGGTCATCCATGAATGGATTTAGGATGCTGCTACTGGACGCTATCTTCGCCTTACGGAACTAAGCGCAGTATTCCTGGGGGTATTCCCTTCGTTGGGCGCACACCACTAAAATGCGTTGGGCATCGGTCAATTCCCGGTGACCGAGTTCTTTGGACGGAGGAGAGGGCATTTTCTGGCAGCGATGGATGAAACGTTGGACATAAGCCATCACCCTGATTGCTCTCCCGAAAGAAGTCCGGAACATTGGGCAGTGTTGCAAGGTGAGTCTGGATGCTGCGCTGCTCGAGCGCTGTCTCTTGAGGGGTCTGCTCCTGTATGGGCCAGTACTCACGTGCAGTCCGGAGCCAAACTGGTCCATGCCACCACAAATCGCTGTCCGCCAGTTCTTGCGGCGCGACACCTCGACTAGCGAGGTCAGCTGGGTTGTGCTCGGAACTCACATGGAACCAAGCCTTCCCACCCGTGGCCTGAATGATCCGGGACACCCGGTTTGCCACGAAGATGTTCCAATTGCGCACATGTCAACTAGGAGTACCGCGCCAATGGAGTGGCAAAACCCATGGAAAGTGCCCTGGTGGTAGAAATGGACCCACCTAGGGATACGAATCTGATGTCTTTGCCTTCCACCTGATGCCTAGCGTTTTGGTCATGCTGGCATCGTCAATATCCAGGAAGTCAGCGTGTAGCAGGTGTTCCCCGGCAGGCCCCGTAGGAGCGCCTTGCTGTTAGCAGTCCACTTTCGCGGAAAGCCTGCGGCGGTAAATGCTGTTTGGAGCTCTCTTATGGATCAGAGCGCGACCTGCTGCGTATGTGCTCCAGCTAGGACATCATCCACATACATGAAGTTGGTGAGGATCCGACTGGCAATTGGATACTGAGCTTGGGAGTCCTTAGCGAGCTGCAGGAGGACGCGGATGGCCAGGAACGGCGCACAGTTTAGAATTTGCAGATACATCGGCACTGAACACATAACGGAAAAAGCGCCATTTCAACACTTGCAAGGTCAGGTCGGATTGGAGGACCGGTACCGTATTGCAGAGGTCGTTGAGGCTTTTTCGTTGGAGGACGGACTGGAGGCGTTGAATACTACGCGGACCTCGGCAGTGGCGCGATCTGCTTTGATCAACGCGTGATGAGGGAGATAAAAATTGGCGCTGTTGGTGTCCGGAGGGACTTGGCCAATGTGCCCCAAGTCCAGATATTCTTTGATGACAGCGTCATATTGCTCCTTCAATGGAGCGTTCTTTTTTAGTCACGCCTCATTCCTTACCTGGAATGGCCCAACTCGATATGCTGTGGTTCCTTAAACGGGAGTGAGACCATATATCTTCCATCTGTCTGTCGTTCTGTTGTGCGCTGGAATAGCTGTTCACAAACCAAATCATCTGCTCTGGGGCAGGTGACTGGGGCATCCTCAACCTTCCAAAATTTTGTGAGCAAATGATCGAGAACGGGCTCATCGTGCAGAGCGAACCGTGTAGCGAATGACGCTATGATCGTGTTTCCTGCGGCGGACACTGGGCCGGTAAGAATCCAGCCGAACACAGTTTCCTGAGCCAACAGCAGAATTTTGACGTCGCAAATGTTTACCGCTGTGTGTTCGTTTTCAGTGTCGGAAACGCGTGTTCGTTGCGGTGGAGCTGTGGTGGAATATTCTCTTGGTAGAATATTCGTTTGTTGAAGGAGGCGTCTGCGCTTTGGAACAGGCCAAATGTGTTTTTGGTCTTTCCACATTGTTGTGGTTGTGCTGGTATACTTGTGTGTTACCAATGAGTACCTGCGTTGGGAAGCGATGATTGCGTGCCTGTGCTATGTGCATGGACACGCGCAGAAAACTTGATAAATATGTGGCAGGAGTATATGGAAATACGCGCAAGTGCAAAGTACGTTGGTGGCAAAATGATTTATTATTGGAATTTTTCGTTAATTCCATAAACGATGGCGCCACGCGTGGGCTATGTGGATGCCAAAGGGACGTTGGCAGATTTCGACTGTTTATACTCTGTACATGAAATGTACAAGAGTATATTAGGTTTGCGGGAGCTGAAAAATGTAACAGGCAGAAGGAGGCGTGGCAGACCCCACAAAGTATATATATTATTGATCAGCGTGACAAGACGAGTCGATCTAGCCCTGTCTGTCTGTTTGTCCGTCTGTCCGTCCGTATGAACACCTGGATCTCAGAGACTATAAGAGATAGAGACACCAAATTTTGCACAAAGATGCGTTATGTGTGTATTCTATACGAGTTTGTTTTATTTTTTTGATTTTCCCCCCACTTCCCCCCTATGGGGGTTTTCCCGATTTTTCATTCGTATAATCGTCTATATCTCGGAGACTATAAGACCTAGGAACACCAAATTTTAGTCCAAGATGCCTTGTGGGAATACGCAGAAAATGTATATTTTGGAATTTCCCTCCCTCCCCCTTCTACCACGCAAATCGTAACTCCCGTAATTCTTGGAATTTCGAACTAAAATTTTGGAAATACCCCCAGTTAGTAATTATGTGTCCGTATGCCAAGTTTCACTATGATAGACCGATTTAACAAGAAGTTATAGCCATAAATATATTTGCAGCGCTGCCGGCGGCTGTTGATGCTGGTGCTTTGGTTGACTGCACACATGTTTACACAGACACGAATAGATGCGAATAGGCATACATACACTCACACAGACGCAATTGCTATGTAAATGTGCAATTATACACCCTTTACGTGAGTTCGAATACCGAGAGAGGTAAAATCGATCCAATTTTGTTTTTTTTTCTTAATTTTTTTTATTTTCTATAATTATTGTAAACATATGTACAGAGTATTTCAAAGTCGGGACACCTGACTTTAGCTTTTTTACTTATTTAATTTGGAGTCGTGGATCGACCGCCAATTGATGGGACGGTACCTGCCGTTGGCAAAGCGTTTGGGTTGCAGGCGAGCTACCTTGTAGAAGGCGGGAAGGGTGGAAATCCCTTACGCAGGGGCTGGATTGCCATGTTGGGCCCTGGGATAGAGAACGGAAAGCTTGATGCTAATTCCGTTGTGGATGTCGGCCGACAGACCGACAGAACATATGGCGGTAAGTTGCAGAGTAAAAGTGCGTTTTACTTAGCTCTTTTTTCCGGTTGAAGATTTCCCGCCACGCCAATAACTTGCTGGGGGGAATTCAGTGAAGCACAAAAACGAAAATGGCGATATGAGCGAAAAACTGGCACTTTTTCTTTTTATGTCTATTCACATGAACTCTTCTTTTTATTCTAATTTACAAATTCGCAGTAAAGCGCTTACATACTAGTTAGAATATTAGGGAGAGAGGCTGCGGTGCGGCTGCGGCTGACTTACGCAAATAACAATTTGGCAGTAGAGCTTCAAGAAGCCAGTGATCTATGACTGGTGTGCAAGGAGAACCATTACCCGATAATTTGTATACAAGAGATGGTACAGCTATGGATCGTGTTGAAGTAGCAAATTTGGTACAAGCCGCCATACAGTCGAATCAGAATCAAATGATTCAGAATATTAACTCCATTATGGCGGATATGATTGAGAAAACCATACGTGCGCAACTAGTGGCACTACATACTGGGCGTAGTGAGCCAAGCGAATAACAGAGTGAAGAAAAAACTACGTTTATACGTCCTGGTTAAGCAACCCAGTTACCTTCGGTTCATCGTAACCCTGATGGAGCAAACATTTTGAATTAATCAAATTCTTCTATCCCTATTCAGAAGGTTTTCAGCATAATACAAAGCTGGCATATAAGGTTTGATGGTGGCAAAGGTAACCAAGCGGTTACCAAACTCAGATTTAGTGCCACATATAAGGCAACTAAGCTTGACCCAATCAACGGACCAGATTGCCGTTCATCAGGACAACACGGTCTTCCAATTCAGCACTACCATAGCAACGAAGTGTTGGTGAACAAGCTAATCAAAGCTATTGGCTTCAATCGCGATCAGTTCAACAGGAACTTCTTCGGCGATTATTCACACATACGTACCATTTTATGTTAGTTTGCTGTATATTATTAGTTTTTTTTTTAATCTGAAACAATGATTTGATCTTTTGACATCATACTTTCCAATCTGATTTGATTTGCAATTTGCGTTCGATTTCACTTTTAACGTTGAAATTTAAATGAACTTTGTGTATTGTTTTTTTAAATAACGTAACCTTGAGCCTTATTTTGCAATATTACTTACTTTAGAAATAAATATGTTGCAAACTATTTAATATATATAAGAGAATGATTTTGGATCATAGTGACGATAATATATGCCTTTAACTTTGATATGAACATAAAAGTAGCATCAAGTTGCAAGGGGGCTACCGACCACGATCATTATTTCCGATATGCCAAGGTAGGGTAGATAAAGAATAGGGTATAACAACATCTAATACCCTAGAAGCAATCTTATCTACATTAGTTTGTCTGCTCGCTTTTATGTTGGTTGTGGAACAAATCCGAACACTCAATTTGCTTGTTTTGATAGTTTCTGTTTAATGCACTTCTTTTCTTGTAGGAGGAGGAAAAACCCCACCCGTCCGACGAGCTAAGTTAGAGCAACGCAAGTGCATGCCTCGAATCCTCCAGAGCCCCCTTCACAAGTAGCTCCCAATTTTGGGCTTGCTTAAAGACACTGACACCTGCACGCTACACTAGTGGCGCCCTATGCGGGACATGTTCTCTGACACTACATTCCGCACACTACAGCCTCCTTCTGTCTGTTACATTTTTCACCTCCCGCAAACCTAATATACTCTTGTACATTTCATGTACAGAGTATAAAAACAGCCGTGACGCCGCTTAAATAAAATGAATATAAAACACAAAATTGCACTGCACAACTGATAACACAAAACTCAGAACTCAGGCTAACCGCTTAGGCAACAAATATAAGGCAAGATTTATCGCAAAAAATAGTAAAGTTAAGGAGCGCACAAGAAACGCGACTGACTCTCTCAACAGATCTTCTTTTTCTTATATATATACATAATAATTATTATAAATAATAATTAACGTATTCTCTAGAAATTTGATATAGCGTTTTAAAAGTAGAATTATTGTAACACATTGTATTTATTTGTAGAACAAACTACGTTGGATGAGTCCGAGGGCACCCCCTAATTATATAAGACCAGGAGTTCCTAAGTTGTTGTATGGTTTAATTGAATACATACTACCAAACGACTTATCAGTGGCTCAGCGAAGGTCTGAAAAGGATGCCATAATAACGTTTATAATGGAGCTTAATAAGGTAAGGTTAAATATAATAAATATTGCCTATACATAAAGAGTATAAGGACAGATGGAGGCGTGGCAGCATAAGGATTCTTGATCAGCATCAAGCATCGAGTCGATTATGCCATGTCTGTCATCCCGTCTGTCCCTCGTATAAGAACATTGATCTCAGAAACTATAAGACACCAATGGCAATCAATGGCTGATGATGCCATTTGGTCTTCACTCCTTATCAGTCACATTCCAACGACCACTAGAGTGCTTTTTCGAGACGTCACCATAAGTGCTTGTCGAGCCAACGATGAAAGCCCATTAACAGCAGGCAGCGGGCAAGATGCTTTTCAAACCATTAGAGGCTGCATGGGATGTAGTACGCGCCGACCTGCTGGACCCATTGTCACGGTCCAATGCGTACCTCTTGGTATTAATGGAAAAATTCAGTTTTCGAGCTGGACCTTGAGACACAAATCAGCAGCTGACAGCATCGCCGCAAAAATATCCCCGCTCCAACAGGGTGGTGAAACCTACAAGTATAACGAAGGAAATCTATCGAACTATCGACGTAAGCAGACGTGCTATTTATTCGCTCCGGAAAATTCTTTAATAAAAAGTTAAATCAAACATTTCTTTACACTTAAGCACCCCATCCACAGGCGAGAATTTTGCCTGAACTTGTTGTGCTCGACGAAATGTTCGACGTTAGTGGGGATGCTCGAGTGAATTTAAATGCTCGACGTTTTGCTCGCATAGAATATAAATGTTTCCATATTGCTACTGTTCGTGTGAACATATTTGACAGTTGATGGCAGTGTTGCCCGAGCATCATTTGAAAATTATTTGTAAGCACAGACGTCTGAAAATGAACAAGCAATTATTGCTCGATTTTATAGAATTCTTCCACAATGAGCCGTCTTTGTGAAAAATAATTGAGAGGAATATAAGAATAAGCATTTGCGCAATAAAGCGTGGGATGTACTTTTAACAAAAAATCAAGAAATTTATAGAGAAGCAAACATGGAAACAGTTAAAAACAAGTAAAAAAGCTAAAGTCGGGTGTCCCGACTTTGAAATACTCTGTACATATGTTTAGAATAATTATAGAAATTAAAAAAGTAAGAGAATTAAAAAACAAAATTTGATCGATTTTACCTCTTTTGGTATTCGAACTCACGTAAAGGGTGTATAATTGCACATATACAAAGCAATTGCGTCTATGTGAGTGTATGTATGTATATGCTCGTATATTCGTGTCTCAGTAAACATGTTAGCAGTCAACCAAAGAGCAACATCAACAACAGCCGCGGGCAGCGCTTGAGCAGCAAATATATTTATGGCTATAACTTCTTGTTAAGTTAAACTTGGCATACGGACACATAATTACTAACTGGGGGTATTTACAAAGTTTTAGTTCAAAATTCCAAGAATTACGAGAGTTAGAGAAAATCGCGATTTGCGTGGGAGAGAGGAGAGGGGGGGAAATTCCAAAATACACATTTTCTGCGTATTCTTATAAGGCATCTGGGACTAAAACTTTGTGTCCCTAGGTCTTATAGTCTCTTAGATATAGGAGATTATACGAATGGAAAATCGGGAAAACCCCCATAGGGGAAAAAAATAAAACAAACTTATACAGCGTACACATATAACGCATCTTTGTGCAAAATTTGGTGCCTCTAGCTCTTATAGTCTCTGAGATCCAGGTGTTCATACGGACAGACAGACAGACAGACAGACAGACAGGGCTAGATCGATTCGTCTCATCATGCTGATCAAGAATATATATACTTTGTGGGGTCTGCCACGCCTCCTTCTGCCTGTTACATTTTCAGCTCCCGCAAACCTAATATACTCTTGTACATTTTATGTGCAGAGTATAAAAAGTAAATTCACTGCGTGCGTCCTACAGGGAACTGAACAGTAGAAAAAGAAGTGAAAAATCTTATGCGGCCAAGACTCTGGGGAGAAATTCCAGTAAAGAATTTCAAGTCCTCATAGGTTTTTCCAGTGGCCAAAAATCTCAAAGTAGCTGAGAGTAGCTGTAGCTGGGCGTTATTACCACTCTTATTGTATTCTTCAAATCCGCCGAAGAGGACTCATTCATCTTCTTCAAGAGTTTCGTGTGGGTGAATTTCTCTCGGTTCATGTACCACTTTTTCATCCCCATACTGTGCTTTCTTTTTTCCTTCCATTTATTATACCCTGTACCCAAAGGGTACAAGGGTATATTAGTTTTGTGGGAGTGTACATGTAACACACAGAAGGAGGCATGGCTGACCCCACAAAGTATATATATTTTGGCAAATAAAATGCCCAATGCACACATACATACATATGTACAAGTACACACACACGCATAGACACGATTCTGATGTAAATGTATGTATGCATGTATGGAATATTTTATATTTAATTTAGTTAATTAATTAAATTAAATTAATTAAATAATTAAATTAAATTAAAATAATTTTTTGTGGGATGGTACAGGGTATTTAGGAGTTGAGCCTGCTCGACTTTAGCATTCCTTTCTTGTTTTTTCTTTTTGTTTCTCAATACATACTTGAATTGCCATTAAGGCCAAAATTGTATTTTCGTCCGTATCCATTTATCCATTCCGCACTTGTCAAAATTTGCTCTCAAATTATGTTCACAAGCAATGTTCACAGAGAATGTCCGTCTCGTTAGTGGGAAAATGTATTTGTGGTGCCGAGTAGAGACAACATGCTCGCCTGTGTATGGGGTGCTTTAGTGAAAGGATTGACAGTCTTATCCAGGTCAGTATTTTTATCTTATTGTTTATTTATTGTATTATTATTGTAATTGTTCAAACAACTTTAAATTAAATTTCAACCTTAAAGTGAATTCAACGAATTTGACTCGCAACATAAAAGAGCCTTTTGAAGATTACCACGCGAAAATAAACTTCTAAACACACGTCAAACACATCATAATACCAATACGCGAGCTCACAGTTTCACTCATAATTACAAATACCACGACAACGCATAAAATATAATTTGCATGAACGTTCAACGTACCAAGAAAAAAAAAAAAATCAACACAAGAAGTTATAGCCATAAATATATTTGCTGCTCAAGCGCTGCCCGCAGCTGTTGTTGATGATGCTGTCTGGTTGACTGCTAACATGTTTACACAGACACGAATAGATGCGCATAGGCATACACACTCACACAGACGTAATTGCTATGTAAATGTGCAATTATACACCCTTTACGAGAGTTCGAATACCGAGAGAGGTAGGTAGGTAGGTAGGTAGATGCTGCAGCCAGAGCTTATGAAGACCCTGACTCACTTAGGCTGTGATTATTTGGCCCGTTGTGGTACCGCGTGGACAAAGTCCGCTTCCCATATCCCGTGGTTGGCTGCATTCCTGCGATAATTGTTACACCCTTCCGGATGCCAGGATGAATTTAGAAATGTCTATCGGCTTTCTTTTTGCTAGCGCCGACAGATTTGGGAGGAGGTCATCTCCTAGAAATCGTTGTCTGGTCCTAAACAAAGCTGGGCAGTCGCAGAAGAGGTGGGAAACTGTTTCCTCCTCTTCTTCGTCTCTGCAACTTCTACAGAAGTCGTTGTGTTGAAGTCCTAGTCTAGCGGCATGGGAGCCCACCAGCCAGTGCCCCGTGATGGCTCTGATTACGGCTGAGCATTGGCTTCTGCTCAGCTTACAGACTTCTAAAGTCCGTTTCCTATCGCGGATGGGCCACGTTTGTCGTGTGATTTTGTGGTGGTTTGTGGCATTGGTCCACATTTGATTTGCAATGAAATCGAAGTGGTTCCGAATGGACAGTTTACTGCTGGCCATCGGTATACCGATGCTCTTCTTGTCTGGGAGGAAGGGAACGGTGGTACCTTCTCTTGTCAGTTCGTCGGCTATGCAGTTTCCCTCTATGTGCCGATGGCCTGGGACCCAAATGAGGTAGACTGAGAACTGTGCTGCCATCTCATGAAGAGATTTGCGACAGGTCTGCACTGACATCGAGTTCGATGTGATGTTGTCTAGGGATTTTATTGCCGCTTAGCTATCCGAATATATGCAGATTTCTCTGATGTCTGTGACTGTGCTTGGCAGAATGAAGAGAGCTTCTTGAATAGCTGTGATTTCAGAATACACTACAGTGGTTCGGAATCCTGAAGGCTTTTCTGATGCCGAGCTCTTCGCAGAAGACACCTCCGCCTACGCGTTTGTTTAGCTTAGAACCGTCTGTATATATTTTTATTGAATTTTCAGGGCCTGAAGGGCCAGAATTGCATTCATCCCTGAAGGGAATGATGGTGTGAAAGGGAGTATGGAGGTACTCCTTTGGGGTACAATAGTCAGTGATTGAGGGGATTATGTCATTTCCTCTCAGGATTTTGGTGTGACCTCTGACCATTGGTTGGTTTCTCTCATGCGAAGGGCCGCCAGCGTGGCGTTCATTTTCCCCATGAGATGAATTGGGAGTATTCCCAGAATCGCATCTAGTGCGTCGCTGGGGGTGGTGCGGAGTGCACCAGAGATCGGTAGTACAGCTTGCTGTTGAACTTTATTTAGTGTCTATAGAGACTCCATATAGGAGTATGGGTCTGATAAGTGCAGTATACAGCCAATGGACCACGTAGGGGGCCATGCCCCATTTCAGTTAGTGCATTTCTCACTCTGTCTTCGATATTCAGGTTCCAATCCAGCTTCCTATCTAGTATCAAGCCTAGATATTTGGCTTAACTGCTGAAGGTTAAAGGTACCCCATTCATTGATGGGGGGTAAAGAGGAGGAATTTTATATTTCCTTGTGAATAGTAAGCAGCTCTGTTTTGCTGGGGTTTACGTTTAGGCCTGACGTCGCCCAAGTAGACAGTATGCTCAGTGCATCTGTCATGCGCTCGCACAAAGTTTGACGGAATTTTCCCGAGAAGGAGATGGTCACATAATCTGCATAAGCCACCGGCATCCCCCTATCCCATCCAAGGATCGTAGGAGTGTGTTAACTGCCACGTTCCATAGGAAGGGTGAGAGGAC